TCCGCACTCACCAGCATCTCACGTGCAACGGCTGCACTGTACTTGCACTCAGGCACGCTTGGTCTCTGGCCAGCTATGCAGCACGTCGCTGCACATCAAGGTGACCCACTCAATGAACTCGTCGACAGCCTAGCCAAGCGGGCCGGTCGTAAGCCGTCAGAGCGAAAGGGGCTTGGTGATGATAACGTGCCTCACTTTGTAGCCGAGCATGCCTTTGACTGGCTCTGGCTTTTCAGCGCCTACCAAGCCTCGCGCACTTGGCCAATTGTCAGCCCTGAGGGTGATACTGTTCCAGTCATGACCCAGACTGAGGCAAAGCTCCCAACCGTGCCTGCAGAATGGGCCATGCCTGGTCGCGATGCTCATCCCACAGCCCTTCACATCCATCTTCGCGCAGCCACCTACAATTCGCTGTCCTGCAAAGGTGCGCTCGAGCGACAGTGTTTAGTCCAGCATATGCTGAAAAACAGGCTGCATGTGCTTGGCATTCAAGAAACACGGCATGAGCTACACTATCAGCCGGCCCGGCAGGGCATTGTGCGCTTTGGCAGTCCGGCCGCCAATGGCCAGCTGGGCTGCCAGGTATGGTTCAATATTCGGGATGCGCCTTGGATGACCAGTGCCTTCAAGTGCACTTATAGGCACCCCAGGCTGGTTGAGGTCCATGCCAGGCTTGGTCAGCAGGCCATTGTTGTCATTTCCGGCCATTGCCCCACTGCAACGGCTCCTCCCGATGACAGAGCTGCCTGGTGGACCTTGTTGCGAGCCCGGCTTCAGGCTGTCCCGGCCTGCCACCAGCCACTTCTCCTCCTCGATGCTAATGCCCGATTTGAGCTGTGCCGGGGATATGAAACCCCTGCCAACTGCAATGCTCTCGATTTTCATTCTGTTCTTTCAGACTTTGCGCTTGCGCGCACCTGTGCATTTGAGGAGAATGGGGCGAAAAGGATCTCGTGGCGGCCTCCGGTTGGGTCCACCGCCGCTAGTGCTTGCCTGGATTTCGTTGTGTTTCCGAGTGCCTGGCAAGCAGGCCAAGCCTGGCAAGGGCTTCTGCCAGTGCTTGACGTGCATGCTGGCATTGACCATGAGCTTGTCGGTGTCGATTTCAACATGGACATCACCCGGCCACCTCGGCCGGCAGCCGCCCTTGATCGAGTAGCCATGCGCACCCCGCAGGGAAGAGCAGTCCTTCAGCATATTTTCGAGACCGCGCCACAGGTACCTTGGTGTGACCCTGTTGACAAGCACCTTGCCATTGTCAATGAGCACCTGCAACGTGGGCTTCTGGAGCACTTTGCGGGTGCCCCTGCACCCCGTAAGCCATGCCTGTCTGCGCGTACGTGGCAGCTCTTGGCACGTCGGCGGCAGGAACGACGTATATTCCGTCGCCAGTCTGCCTTGCACAAGCACTGGGTGCTATACCAATGCTTTGCGGCCTGGAGTGTGCAGCCGAACGCGGGCCATACGCGTGGGTGCCGACGTAAAGTTGCAGCCTTTGACAGGGTTGCCGCCCAGCATGTTGCCACCATGCGCAGCCTGAGCAAGGACCTGCGGGAAGCAAGCAAGCAGGACGAGGCAGAGTACGTCCGGCTCACATTCCAGGACTGTCGAGAGCAGGGACCTTCCGCGCTTGCACGCAAGTTGCGCTCCGTTTTGAAGAGCGGGCGACAGCAAAGTAGCGTCGGCATGCCTTGCGTCTTGCGGACCCCCACTGGTGAGCATAAGGATCCCAAGGACATCCTCCGTGCTTTTGGTGATCACTTTGCAGTCGCCGAAGGGGCCTGTGCCACGCCACTTGCTGCGCTACCCGCTCATGCCGGGTCTTGCCGAAATAACACAGCCATTGAGCTGACGGGCGCTCCAGCCTTAGCGGATCTTACTGCCTCGTTTGCCTCCTTGAAACCAGGGAAAGCATGCGGTATCAGTGGCATACCACCCGAAGCCTACCAGGCCTGTGCCGCTCAGTCAGCTTTGATCCACATGCCGCTCCTTCTTAAAGCAATCTGCAGGCAGACGTTTCCTACTTTGTGGGGGGGACTTCGTGCGCACCCCATCCCCAAGCAAGGCAAACCAGGCGACCGCCTGGAAGGTTTCCGTTCAATAGCCCTTGTTGAACCAGCCGGAAAAGCCGTCTTGCGAGCGGCCCGACGGGACCTTCATGATTGCTTTGAGAGGACCACCCTTGCTACTATCGGGGGGGCCAGAAGAGGCTTTCCTGCCGATATCCCGTCCCTTAGCGTCCAGGCTCACATTGCCTGCCTCAAACAGCAAGGCCGAGCTGGCTCCGTGCTGTTTGTGGACGGTGTCTCGGCCTTTTATGCGGCGCACCGAGGACACCTGTTCACTCAGGATGCTACACAATTGCGTGAGCACTTTGAGCAGGTGCAGCTGGAGCCATCTGTACGTGCCCGTGTATTGGAGGCCTTTCAGGATGTCGGAGCCCTTGACCGAGCGGGGGTTGCAAAGCCCACCATTGCCCTCATGCGAGCCGCGCTGGCGAGGACGTGGTTCTCGGTCGACATCGCCGATGCTCAGGTTTACCTTACCACCAAAGGGACCACCCCGGGTTCCCCGATAGCCGACATCCTCTTCCAGTATGTGTTGAGCTTGTCGCTTGGTTGTTTGGCCGCCCACCTGCGTGACGAAGGGCTTGCCGCAGTTGCCGCCAAGGATGGGGACATCGTAAGGGCTAATCCCCAGTCGTGGCTGGATGATGTCATGCTTCTTGTGACATCACAGACGGCAGGGCATGTCGTTGCAGACAGTTGCCGGACAGCTGCCCTGGTATGCCAGTACTTCTCTGTCGCAGGCATTGCTACGAACTTCAGTGCTGGCAAGACTGAAGCTGTACTATGCCTCAATGGCCCCGGCTCCATTGGTGTCAAGGAGGACATCATGGTTGCGCGTGGCGGCAAGATCACAGTTAATCTGCCTGGGGCCGTCAATGCCGAGCTGCGCTGTGTCGATGCTTACGTGCACCTTGGGTCCCTTCGTGACCATAAAGGGGGCACGCTCGCTGAAGTCGAGCGGCGTGCTCGGCTTGCCGCTGAAGCCTTTGCACCCTTTCGGCGGCGCATCTTGTGCAACCCGCACCTTTTGCTAGCCGAAAAACAGCAGCTGCTGGAAGCTATGGTGTTGGCAAAGTACCTCCACAACTCTGCCACGTGGGACACCACCTCCAAGCAAGCGCACCGTGCATACCGTAGCAAATACCTCGGATTCCTCCGTGGTAGTGTGAGGCCGATGTATGGAGTCCCGTGTCGGCGACTGACGGACAGCCAAGTCCTCGCTTTGTGTGGGGTCCTTAGTCCTGATGAGGCCTTGGTCGTCAGGAAGATTAGGCTGCTGTCGCAGGTGCGTGCTAAGGCCGACGAGTTTCTACAGCGCATCCTTGAGGATGAGGCGGGCTGGATCAAGCAGGCACGCGATGCTGTTCTTGCCCTTGCCGAGGAGCTTGATATAGATTCCCTGCGCAGTCTTGCCTCCTCTGCAGCGTGTGGACGTGACTGGCTACGAGAGTGGCCGCATGATAAGACTGCTACCGCCCGTCTGCTTCGAAGTTTCCGCAAGAGCAAACTGCGTCAACGGGCCGGCCTGGTCCAGGGTGCCCTTGAGAAAGCGCGGGCACACCAGCGTGCTGATGACATGGGTCTTGTGTATGCCACGATTGCGCTGGCTGCGACTGATGCTGCACCACGACATGCATGCCCGGAATGTGGATTGCACTTCAGTAAGGCCTCGGCCCTAGCCTCACATAGAGCTAAGAGACATGCCGTCCGTGCCGCTCCCGCCTTCGCCTGGGGCACCGCGTGTGAGGTGTGCCGCAAGGAGTACTGGGGCCTGGACCGACTTCAGAGTCATTTTCGCAGGTCGCCCCATTGCGCTAGGATTTATGAGCACTCGGACCTCGACAAGGTTAGCGGTTGCGTACCAGCTGGGCCTCGTTCTGCGCCGCCTGCAGCTTTACAAGGTCCGATGCCGTGGTGGGCTACCTTGTGTCCGCCCCCTCCAGACGATGACCCCACTCCCAGCAGACCCGAACTGCCTGATGTTCGCGGCTTACAGACCGTAGAACAGGTGCCACTTTACTTACAACAATGGCTGTGTTTGGTTGAGCAGGGTATCGCCTGGTTTAGGGACTTTAGCACAGAAGACTGGCTACGCCCCATTGTCCAGCTTACGGCAAAGCTAGCTGAATGTGCACACATCGACGGTGCTGAGCACCTCGTTACGGCTGGCGATTTGGCCGCCATTATGCAAGGTCCAAAGCTTTTGGTTGGACCTGCTTCGGCGTTGCGCCGAGCGCGCGCCGATGTCTGGCCTTTACTCTAAGGCGTTTTCTAGAATTCAGGAGTGCGTCATTGTGACTCGAGCCACGACGACAAAAACCTTCGTAACTTCAGGTTGCCAAGCCGTAACCAGTAGTATTTTTTGTCAGAGGATCGGCAGAGAAACCAAGCTGGGTTTGGATGTGAGGAATTTGAGGAATTGGCCGCTATCAGGTTCGGGACTTGCCAGGCCATGAGCAAGGTCGTGCTCACAATTTTAATAGTAATTCTAAAACGAATAAGAATACTCACAGTAATACTCCGACTTAATATTAATGGCCCCGACGACGAGTGCATCGATCTCCTGGAAGCATGTGGAGGCCTTGTGTTGAATGGGGTTCAGGGTTGATAGGGTTTAGGGTCCCGAAGATGCATGAACTCGCATGCAGCTGTTCTCTGGATCGAGGCTTCAGAGTAGAACACAACTAGGAACCAAGCCGAGGAAGGACAACGCGAACAGCATGGCTAAGGGGGTCTTGGGCCAAGGACGCAGAGTTTATGGTTTTACTTTTCTGTGCGCAGGACAGGTTGCAGGCTCCTTACAGATCGGAGGCCGGGGGTGAACGGAACAAGAGCTTGCGCAACATGCACCCCAAAACCACACCATGCTAAGTACATCCCGACACCCTAACCCGTTGACAAGTTGAGGCCCTTACAACTCAACCGTTTTGCCTGGGCAGGGATGAGAGACGTTTTCTCGGCCACAATGAATAGCACCTCGGTTTTCGCTGCTTTTCACGGGTCAGGGTTTCAGTTGGTCTGTAGCAGTTGGGGTCGGGGCGTAGGAGTCTAAGACGGGGTTGTAGGTGCAAAGGCTTTACACAGGGTTCAGGAGCCGTGTCACATCGGGATATGATGGGCTTCGACTCCCAAGCGCCGGATGTTAACGGAGTCTTCTTCTTACCTTCAAAGGTCTATCTGCCCATATAGCAGATAAGATACTTGGGCTCCTGTATAGGCACTGTAAGGTCAAAGCACTTGAAGTACTATGCAATCACCCAGTTTCAGAAGAAAGTAGAGGGACCTTATTGGGACTCCGTGTTATAAGGATCCTTAAGGATCCTACAAGTAAGAGTGTGTTCTATATAGATAGTTCTCTAAATTAGGGTCCCTTTTTGGGTCCCGATTTTTTTTTTAATACGGCACCCTTGTAAAAAGGCCCCTCAAAGGGACCCTAATTTACAGAACTACCCATATACTGTCATATACTTGTTGCAGGTATTTGGGTCCTTGGGGGTAAGATGCAACGCCGGGAGCGGCACTGCTGTTGCACCCCATCGAAGACGAAGGGCCTGCTTTACCAAAGACTCTCACGACCGGGGGTTTACGGTTTCAGGTTTGGGGCTTAAGGTCTAGCGTTGAGGGCCTCCTTTCCTAGGATCTAAGAAGCAATGCGGGAGTTGAAAAAGTGGTAGCATTAGAATGAAGATCCCTTTCATGTTTAGGGTCCGCATTTTCTGCAACTCCCATATGTCGCTGAGGGTTTGGGGTTTTAGGGTTGGGAGTTTCACGCAAGAAGACACTGGAGACTTGAAGAAGGCAACTTGGTCTATGCAGGATGTCTAGTTGAGGTACCGGCATATAGTGTCCGTGTGAACTCAGGAAACTTGATGCCTTGCCTTCGCCCATCATGCCAGCTGTCTTACGTATGCGACGACGGAATTCGCAACAGCCGGGCCTCAACACCTAAACAACAACAATAAACAGAACATAACAACATGTCTAGCAAAACCAATAGAAACAGTAATACTGGTAGTAGCAGTGTTCTTTACACGCTGTCTTGAGCTTTCAAACTCGTGCGATGCTGCACAAAGCCTCAAAGCTTCTCGGCAGGAAGAGCATGTGTTCACCTCAACAGCTTAACCGCTCCAAATTCTGAAGAGCTCAAAATACCTGCACCCCGCCCCCCCCCCCGATCCTATCATTGTATCAACTTCAGAAACTCAGCAAACTGCACCCTCTGACTCAAAGCACAGGTCAACGAAAGCATGCTTGGGGCACCCCCTGGTAGAAACCGCGTGGTGGAACGGCCTCACAGCTGAACGAGTAAGGGTCTTCAGTTTCGGGCGTTCAAAAACCGTAATAAAAACGTCGTCGCCAGTGTCAAGACTTATGCACACCACCTGGAGTTTATGGATGAAGATTTGCAGGAGGTTCTTGCAATGCCTGAAAAAAACTAGCTCGCTCACTGGTTGACTCACTGACTCACCGGCAGCAGCAGCACCACCACCACCAAAGCAGTACTAGCAGCAGCATCGGCGCCAGCGCCGGCGCCCACATCAACAGCACATCTACAGGACCACTATGGTTTGTTGCAAGGTGACGATGACATTGTTGTTGTTCAATTCACAGTCGCAGTGACGGTGATGTTGATGACGTGACGAACTTGAAGGAAACGATAACGATGACAGGGAACCGACAAACCCCAATACAGAGAACAACAACACGCACAACAGTATAACACAACAGATACGACAATGACATGTCGTGAAATCGGCTATGGCAATGGAGGTTGGCCAGGGAGAGGGCAGTACGATGATGATGATGATGACGACGACGACGATGATGAATGATGGTTCTCAGGATGATGGTGGTAGGATTAGTAATGATGGTGACGACTTTGATGATGATGGTGATGAAGAAGAAGATGATGAATACGATGACGATGATGATGCTTGTTCATGATTATGATACTGATGATGATGATGGCTAGCGGCTATATGATGAAGACGAAGATGATGTTGATTATGAAGAAGCATCAACCATCAGGTTCTCCGAATCTGATGATGATGTTGCTGATGTTTTTGATGCTGCTGATGATACTGGTTGATGATGATGATGATGATGATGATTCTGATTCCTATGTTCGTGGTGCTCGCTGGTGGCGATGCTGACTGCAGCCACTGCATCACGAAGTTGAGACTATCGGAAATAGAGCCACAAAGACCCCAAATCCTCAACCCGAAGGAAGCCCGAAAATACCAAAACCCTCGGCCAGCCCTGAACCCCGAAGGGGCCTAAACGGCCCAAATCTAAGGCACTGTTCGGTCACGATGACCGGGTTTTGGGTTAGACTAGACTGTAGCTATACTAAGACACCCTGTGGAGCATTGGTAAGATTAGTGTAAACCCTTAACCCCGATACTGCCGTTGCAGTAACCCGGCTTTCATATCCGTCCTCCGGCAGCTTGAAGTAGCCGGCGACCATTCGCCAGCACTCGGGCGGGAGTCCCTCAGACATGCCTTAGGCCGGGGGGAGCATTGAGACTCGTAGTTCTACGCATGAGCGAAGACTGAGATGAAGCGTGAAGTTCCTCAACCCCAGATCCATCCATCTCTTTTCCCTACAGCCTTTGCAAACAGCCTACTTGGCACGGACTGGCATGATCTCTGAAGTCCTAAATACGGAACCGGCACGTTCGTTCAGCCACGTTTTGATCTCTTTGGTCCAGAGCTTGTGCAATCTCATCTGCGTAGACACCCAAACCAATGAGCCACTGTGCGAGAAAGAGAACAGTTACCGACATGGAAGGGATGATCGCTGCGAAGCTAAGCTGACAGAGGGGTTTCTCAGCTCCAGCCACCAAAGAATGCTGGGAATAAAGTGCAATGTGCTAGTACTGATCATACCAAGAAAAACATCAATGCGAATAGTGATAACGACAATAACATTGCGACCCTTGACTAACATGTCATGTGCTCTTCTTACAAGAATCTTACGAGGAGTCGCTATTGCACAAAAAGCACCCTCCTGCAGCTGTACATGAGCTCTCGCCAGGCACCGGACAGGCAAAATCCACACGGTAACCTGGTAGAGGATTCCCTGTTTCACAATTTCACATGCGCCTAGCTACCATGGAACCGAATGTCATCGCCTAAACTGGAATGCCGAACAGGTGTTGCAACAGCTTGGTGATATGTCAGAATAAGGGCTGTGGGTCAATGATCGGCTCTGCAAGCTGCGGCCTAGCTTCCTGAACCCGGCACCCTTTCCGGTCAAAGGTGAATCTGCAGGATCCTGTCACCAAAGCTTCTAGCAATCAACTTGAGGGCCAGGGGCATGGAGAACGAAAGCTCGGTCTTTTTTTTACAGAAGGACTCAACGGCGACACACACGCAAACGCAGAGAGACATGGCTGCACTGCACAATCACTTCACAAACAAGTACTGATATATCAAT